GTGCGTGCGTGGGAATTCTGGGAGTTGAAGTCCACACATCTTCAAGTTGCTAAGGTTGAGAAACACTGGTCTAGGTCCAATAAACCAGACTTCAGAGAGAAAAAGTTTCAGTCTGTCTTTGTGAGAAAACAGGCATAGGGGTTTGTTTGGGTTTTTGTTTTGTTTTCTGGCCATCATTCTTTGAAACATCTTTTCAAAAGTGGCTTTAGCTCTTCACTGATAACATCAGTTGTTCTGAATATGTTCTGGGATACCACCTGCATGCTACGGTCAGTGGGATCAGACTCCAAGCTCCATATGAGCAATTTGATCCCAGTGGAGTTGATTTGCATTTTATACATATGAAATGATCATATCCAGCAGTACAATCCAAATGTTATGTCAGGCTTCCACCATTTACATGATCCAGCTGTGTACTGCTGCCTGCCAGGAAGCTGGCATCTCTTCTATTTATTTTGTAGCCCAAAGAAAGCAGTAAACACAGGTTTATTGAATCTCATGTTTGCAACAAACCATGGCTGGTGGTGAGCTACATTTAGTTTGGCACATTACAAGTTACACAGGTCTGTTTTACGCATCCATGTTATATAAAAACACCATGTTTAAGAAGGTGAGATTTGATGGGAGTGGAATAATTACTTAATTCTGCCCGTTTTGTTTATTTTCCCACTTGGCTTAGCCCACGGTATTAGTCAAATAGAGTAAACAGAATTGATTGAAAATATAATACATATCTACTCCTTTTAGCACAGTAAGCTAAAATCAGCGGTCAATTAAGCTGCTAAAATCTTAACTGGGTCATTTAAAATGTAATTATCCAAGAATAAATCAAGTTTCAATCGCTTGAAAAAAAAAAAAATTCAGAGATTTTTTTTTTTTTTAATTCATGTAAACATTTCAGAGCCTGGCCATTTCAAAGTCTTGCATGGTATAACCATAAGATTTTTTTCACAATATAGCAAATGGGCAAAAACATTATGGGAAACTCGTCCAGGAATGAAAATCATCCAACTGATTTTTCCAAATTGTTTTCAATGGTTAGATCTGAGAGAGGGAAATTGTTTAATCAAGAAATTGTTTGTGTAACTCCCCAAAAGATACTAAAAGCCAGAAAACCAGTTGCAATGGAAAGTGGTCTGTAGGATCTGTAGATAAAAATCAGTTTTATCTTTCAAAATTGATTAGAATATATATGGGGTCATAAAGATGGCCTTACTTGTGCTGACATTTTTGCACTCAAGTGAGGTGACCCATTTAGATATATATGTTTCTCAGAATTCTCACTTTACTTTAAAAGAAGGCAGCTTTTAAAAATTGTATTATGCAGTACATGTGCACAATTCCAGCTACAAATTTTTTATTGTGGCATGGGAGTTTTTGTTTATGTTTTGTTTCTTTATTTCTGCTCTCAGCATCTATAAAATCCTATTATACTGCCATTTGCCCTGTAAAAAGGCATTGTGATTATGATTTTCTATCATATGTTAAGCTGTATTTCCCAACATTTAGGACAAAATGGGATTACCTTTATGCAGTTAGGGCCACACTTTATGCAGTACAAAAAATTGGACTCCAAGGGCCACCTGGTTTCACCACCTGGTGGTCATAATGTTGGGCTTATTGTTGCTGGGGGATAACACAAAATAGATATGCTAAATACAGTGGAGAATTATACACTGATTTTTAGCCTTCTGCAAAAAATGAAATCAAAATATTAGTAGCACGATCTTCAGAAGCTCTGGGGCAGGCAAAAATGGGGCTGCGATACAAGTTGCCCACTCCTGATCTAGAGCCATCAAAAGATGGTTACATCAGGGAGTATAACCAAAAACCAGCAAGCTCCATGACGAAAAAAGGAAAGGCTAGAAAGAAAGAAAAATAGGATAGATGCAAAAGCAAGCAAGGAAGGATAAATACTCAGCTCAGTTCAACATATTTAAGGCCAGTTCCAGAAAAGGAAAGGTCTGAAGGTCTTAAACAAAAGACTTCATGAACAATTTGGACTTTAAGGACTGACCTGAAGGAAGAGGAAGAGAGGATGTTATTTAGATAATTAGATGTGTATTCATTTATGAGCACATAAACCTTGATTCTTTTCAATTAAATATTTCCCTTATACATGCAGGAACTGTACAAGTTCCCACACTAAGCTGTCCATTACCTAAGTACAAATGAAGTGGCCAGGCACAAGTTTACTGTATATTGGCCAGTTTCTTAACTGCCATTTATTTCACAACTTTCCTCATTTTTGTCTACCCAACTAATTAAATATCTTGTTTGATTCAATTGTCTACTCCTAAATTCTACTATAGCAATAGAGATGCCATGGATATCAACCAGAAACAGATGTCAAATGTTAAATTTAGATTTACAGTGAGTCAGCTAATAAATCTTAAACAAATCTCCTGACCCACTGGAAATATTTCGTCAGGCTCACACACCCCAACAGAACTGCATTGCCTTACATGAGCCAAACTAGTCAAATCAACCAAGCACCCAGGATTTCCTGGGAAAGGGAAGGGTCCTCAAAGGAGAGGAATTGTCAGGCTCTAAAGGTAGTGGACTTCATCCACACTTGAACAGGATATAACCTATTACCATTTACACAGCAGTTAAAAACGATCTGCTGCTGCTGTTGTTGTCAAGAATGTTGTCATGACACGGAGTTGACATAATCGTGGTTCTTCTCTCCCACAACATACACCCCATCACACACACAGACGCACACACAGAGTTTCTCCAATGTTCCTACCCATAGTATTATATTATTATACAATTATAATAGTATATGCTTCCTCTGTTGAGATCCTTTGCCTCAATGACAATCTTTTCCCATTTCCCTCTTTTTTGATGGATTATGTGCCATCAGTGCCAACTCATAGATAGAACTTCTCCAGGATGACCTGTCTCCAACTTGGTCCTTCAGGTCTTTCAATAATTCACCCATTGCTGTTGTAATCAAGTCTATCCACCTTGCTCCTGGTTGTCCGCTTCTCTTTCCTTCCACCTTTCCCAACATGATAGACTTCTCAAGAGAGAGAGAGAGAGAGAGAGAGAGACCTTTGCATAATGTGTCCAAAATATTACATATTCATGCCGTACTATGATACTTCAAAACATTATACTAGATATTGCAAGTGGACTGCAATTTGACTAATTTATACCAATTACTTCACCTTTTCCACAAAGAATTACCAAACATTTCCCCCTCCCCCATTCCCATCTATGTGTATTATTGCTGTTGTACCAAGCATTTTCACAGCCTACAAAAAGATGCCATGGAAAGTAGATATTTACTTACTTACTTACTTATCTAATGAATTGAGGCCCCCTGATTCTTAACCACTCTGGGTGGCTTACCATTTTTTAAAAATAAGAATAATACAATAATTATAATTTTAAAATGATAGGTGGCCCAAAGACAGACATAAACAAAAAAAACCCCACTCAATAGCGACTCAACCATTGAATTCCCCAAAGCCTGGGAGAACAGCCAGGTCTTCAATAGCCTTCTGAACATCACCACGGTGCGAGCCATCCAGAGGGTAGTCACTGCAACAGAGAATTCATGTGTCCTGCATCCAGTTAGATGACACTGTTTAATTAAAGGAACCAAAGCACACCCACTGTTTCCAATCTCACCGGAGGGACAGTGCCTCCCTGCCTTGGCGCTATGATCAGCTGCTTGCCATTTATGGAGATCAAGCCTTCCATCTCAGGGCAACCTGGTGCAAAGGCCGGATCAAAGAGATCTGGGAGGAAAGGGATACCTTTTCACCAAAAACACAGCAAACCCACTTCTAGATGAATATTCTATGTCACATGGAGGTGCTGTATGGGGAGGTGGGTGACTTGCAGGGTTCCATTTGGCCTACTGATGGACCACCCTGCCATCCGGCCATAGGGCTTTTTGTTAGGGAGGGCTTTGGCTTACAAAGAGAACAGAGTGCAATCAAGCACCAATGTTTTCTTTTTTTGGCTCTGGTAGGAAGAGTGACCTTGAATAATGTATTCGACAAGGTTACTATTCCTACTGGAAACCTCCCCCATGTTCCACCACAGCAATCCCTGCTCTTATTCACTGGCCTGCCCATTTGGCCTCTCTGCTCTGTGGCAGCAGCTGTACTGCTATTCTTGCTCCATGCTTTCTGGAGGGCTCCATGTCGCTACAGGTGGCCTTCAGCAAGGGATCTGTCCTTGGTGAGTGGGGGAGACCAGCGAGCAGAACCCTCTTCCCTTTCCCTCTTCCTTATTTCCCCCAACAACTGCCACAGAAACGACTGTTG